CAACCAAGGTACATGCCCTTGACCGGAATCGAACCTGGGACCTTTCAGTCCACAGGCTGACGCTCAATCCACTGAGCCAAACCGGTTAGGGCCATAGGTTTTTTTTAAAACTATAATCCGGCCCTCCAATGGTCTGAGGGACAGTGAACTGGCCCCCTGTTTAAAAAGTTTGAGGACCCCTGAGCTAAGTCTTTAAGTAGAAAAAACTTTAGTAATTCATGTACAGTTTAGTCTGAGTTACCTCAGTTGCTCAGAAAAATTTCAGGGAGCTTACATTTTGCAGGTGCTTGGAGCTAGAGTTCACCTTTATACTTGCCCATCTGTGTGGCTTGCTCACAGCCTCGTCTAGGCTGAAAAGGAGAAAGCTGAGAGTCATGATTTTTAGCGGACTACTTTGCCTTTTGGGCTTTTTTCTTTTCCATTTCTGAAAATTCCTGAGGGTTGAAAATTAATTCCCCCCCACATTGTTTTTGGTGTTGAGAAAAATCCTTTACTTTATAGCTTTAAATAACTCTTCTTCCAGAATTAGGTGAATAAAGCTATAAAATAAGAATATCAGATATGTCTTTCAGTGAATCCATAATGCCCAAATATTTTACTTGCTGTTCATGTTCATGCTATGTTTTCTTCCTTAGGAACTTTGTTTATTTTTTTCATGCACGATTTCACTGATTTTTTCATATGAAAGATAACAGATATTTTTCACGCCTTTAAAATGCACAGAGGGTTGTTGGTGGCTTGTCATGTACTCTGATTAGACCCCCAGTAATTAGACAGTCTGTCCACAGCCTCAGACAGGTGGCTGCGCAGCAGACCCAAAGCCCAGAGGTAAGGCACCCCCTCCCCATTCTGCTCCCAGCTCAGCACACGCACTGTAGGCGGCTCATTTTATGTCTGGGCTGGTGTTGTATTTAGTTGTTTGGGATGGACATTGTCTTATAAAAATTGAGGAGATGGAAGTTACTATACAAGTACTGCCTGTCACTTTGCAAAGAGTATGTATTATACAAAAAGTTGGGAATTAAAAATATTTGTATTTGTTTCAGCCTCTTTGGGCATATACCTGAGAAACAGTTTAGAGTTCTAGGACAAGTTGAAATCACAAACTAAGGTCATTGACGAATATGGTGAAAACCAAACAACTCACGTTTTGACTCCTTTTGTGTGTTGTGTGTATGTGTTTTTTTTAATTGATTTTGAGAGAGAAAAGGAGGGAAGGAGGAAGGGAGAGAGGTGGAGAGAGAGATGCAAGAGAGAAACATGGATCGGTTGTCTCCTGCATGTGCCCCGACTGGGGACTGAAGTCACAACTAGGGACTAGTGTGTGCACTGACCAGGAATCCACCTTCTGGTGCATGGGATGATGCTCCAACCAAGTGAGTCAACATGTTAGGTCCCAGAGGACATCCTTAGAGGTGAGGGACCCAGCGCCCTCCCGCTGACTTGCCTTCATTTCTTTGTGGCTCAGGGGCCGGCTGACAGAGACTGTAGCCTGGCAGCAGGGTCGGTGTTTAGCCATGCTGGCTCCGTCACTATAGGGGGTTTCCCCTTAGGTCCATGAGTGGGATTTTCATGTCTTTCCTATGGACAGTGTGGGGCATGTGTGGAGGGAAAGGGCGGGAGGAGAACTTCTTTGGGTGAAAATATAGATGCTTTTTAAAATCACTTTTTTTCCTATTCTGTCTTTTATTTTTGTTGACATAATGACTTATTTGTTCCGCAGAGCTTCCCTGAGCGAGTGTTGAGTGCTGGCTAGGCCAGAGGCAGTGGTTCCTGAGACTGCCTTCTAGAGGTGTAGGTCCCCAGGTCCATCCTCCGGACTCTGGTTCTGAGTGAGGCTGAGAATGTGTGTCTGGAAAGCTTCCCAGACTGGGGTCTCTGAGTCCCACACGAATGTGGCCAGTGCTTCAGCTCCTGAGGAAGGTGGGATGGGCTGAGGAAAGGCTATGGTGACTGCTCTCAGAAAGGAAGAAGAGCAGAACTAAAGGAAAGCAATTTTGGGCTTTTTTTTAAAGCTGCAAAGTCAAGTCTCTAGCAGGTTCTTTTCTCACCAAGTACTGAACCTTTACACAGACTCAGAGACTTGGAGCCTAATGAGGTTCCTGGACAGAGAGGAGCTAAAGAATTAGATTCTCACTCCCCAGACAGACTTCTGTGCACACTGAGGGCAGAGGTGGGGGTGGTTGTCTGAGTCGGGCTGCTCCCCTCTGCCAGCGAGGACTGTGCAGGAGAGAAGACACCAGGGTGCCCCATTGCAGACCAGGCTGTGACTCCAGCTGCGAGTGACCATCAGAGTTGGCCAAGTGGGTATGGGACTGCGCTCTCCAGGCAAAAAGACCTGTGAATTATTTTAAAGCTAATTCATGGTTATTATTCAAATTAAGCCTATTTTAAAATTCATGCTTTACACAATTTACATCATCCCACTTTATATCTAAGGCCGTCAGCTTTAGCCCTTTGTGGGGGAAAGTGTTACAGTGGCATTTAATGGCAGGCTCCTGGCTCTGGGACTCCTGCAAGGAGACGAGGAGCAATCGCCGTGGTGGCTCGAAGTGTCTTGAAGGCATCATGGAGGTGGAGCAGTGTCAGCTGGGCCTCGGGTGACGGTGGGAATTAGAAATGTGGGGGAAGGAGACATTGCAGTAGCAAACACAGCCAAATGCCCAACATTCAGAATGCAGCTCACAAGCACAGCGGGCCGTCCCCGTGTCTCTGTGTGGTCGGCTCACAGCTCCTCACTGTTTATGATGCACCTCACGGTCATGTTGCACCTGATGCAAAAGAGGGCAGAGGAAGTTTGGATACTTTTAGCCAGACCCCAGCAGTTTTCCAGAGAGCTGAGAGCACAGGTCCCAGAGGGCAAGCTCTCGCTCTGCTGGCTGAATGAAGGGGGTGCACCTGTGTGACCTTGCAGACCCCCCTAGCTGTGGGGAGGGTGAGATTTCCAGGTTGTAATTTGCTGACTGACCCAGGTGTTAAGCATTCTGGATCACACCTTACTAGTGGGTTGAGAGAGTTTCTCCAAACTGGAAAACATGAGCTTGGCCATGCTGGGTGTGTCAGAGCACGTGGGTGCTGAGTTCAGGGCTGAGGAAGGGCTGACACCTACTGAGTTTCTCATTTTCTCATCAGGGCTTCCTTATCTCCGTCCTGTTCCCTAAATACTTTTTTTTAGATGTAAATGTAAGTTCCTTTTTTCCAGGACTAGGACCACAATTGGTGCCGCCAGCTTTGCTTCCCTAAGAGCCAGCCATCCTCGGAAAATGTCAGCAGGGTGTTGAAAAGCCACCTTGTTTCTTTTGATCCGTGTGTGCCGCGGTGGGGATTAGGGTTAGAGTGGGTCTGGGTTTCATTTCGGGGCCATTTTTGAGCACAGACGGAATGACAGACTGTCTCCATCACAAACTCCTCAGCAGTGGGATCGAGGTGAGACTGGATAGAGCAGCGCTGGATTTTCTTTAACTTGGAGTCAGTGATGATAGAATAAGACGTGGTTCCAGCTGGGCTTGTGCTGTCCTTGGTAGAGGAGGTGGTCAGTGATGTTTGCCTCTAACATGAGGTCATTGCAACCACCTTCTAGTTTGTTCTTCTCTTGGCTGTCAGGCCTCCGAGAGCAGCTGCTATACTGTTGGTAAGCCAGGTGACAATCTGGAAGCTTGTACAAATTCCTCAGTTTGGGAGGTCATTGTGGGTATGAATGGGAAGGGAGTCAAAGGGAGCTTTTAGCGTTGCCCGTACACAGCGTGCTGCCGGCTAGAGGGTGAGCTCTTCCCCTCTCCTGAGGGTCAGCACCTGCATTTGAAGGTCCACTTAGATTCCACAGAGTGCTTATTTTTCTGTTTGCCAGTAAGTCCAAGAGTGTCCAGTTTCCAGGTCATCGTGTGTTCCTGACGGTGGGGTGCGCACTTTCCGCTGCTGCTCCGGCGGCACTAGCTGTGGCTCAGGAAGGGGGTGTTTGGTTCTGCTCATCTTAATGCGGAGATGATAGACATAACCATATCAAGTGTGTCTTCTGCTCTTTCATTTCTAGAAGGTCACATGTAATCATCACCAGGAATACATATGTGTATGTGTGATCTGTGTATCTTTCTTATTTATTTATAGAATTCAGCATTTTATGTGGACTGTGAGTCATTGGTTCAAGCCCTTCAAGAACTGCCTCTCTCCCTCCGACTCAATGTTGCTGCTGAATTGGTCCAGGTAAAACCCTGATGGCATCTTCGAGCTGGTGTGGGTTAGGGCAGGAGAAGAAAGAGTGAAAAATAACCCCTGGCAGGATGTCTCAGGCTTAGCTCTTCCTTTCATGAAGCTGAGGGTTTTGTATCAGGTAGCACTTTGTAAAGTTTTAAGGGAGAATGAGTTAATTTTTTAAGGTTTTTTTTTAAATGTTTTTTACATTTTATAGCTGAAACATTTTAAAGAATCAGATGTAATAGGGTTGAATGAAATGTAAAAGTATAAAGTCTGGCTGGTACAATATTTATGTTGGGTACGAAGGATGCAGTGGTTGAGTAGACAAACATGGTTCCTGCCCTTGTGTGGCTTAATCTATTGGGAAAAGTGGGTATTAAACAGATTATCACACAAAAGTCCAAGTTGTGATAACTGCTAAGAAGGGTTAGCACAGTGTGCTGTGGGATTATATAACAGGGAACCTGCTACTCTACTGTGATTAGGAATGGATTTTCTGAGGAAGGGACAGATAAGCTGAGACTCAGAGTAGAAGGGCATTTGAGTTGGAATTTAGAGAAGGATCTGCATTAACAGCACTGCTACTGCTGACACTAGCAAGAGCATGCTGGCTGTGGGTGGGAAGGGGGCCACAGGAGTGGGGTGGGGGGGTTTATTGGTTAATCCGAACTTACAAGAGCAGAGGAGACGGGAGGCAAGTTAGGAGGCTGTCGCATGGGTCCAGGCGAATAATGCTGTAGCTTGGAAAGGGTGATGATGGTAGAGGTGGCACGGAATTGGAGTTTTCTAAGAGGTACTTCAAAGGAAAAATTAAGAGGACATGGGGAGAGTTATCCTAGGTTTTTTCCAGCTTGTGCAACACTGCTAGGTGGGACCAGGAGGTGAGGTTGGGATATTAGGGGTTTGTGCCTCTGAGATATCAAAGTGAAAATAGAAGTCAAATAGACAGAGAAATTTATAGTCCAGAATTATGGGCTGGAAATAGAAATTGGGGAGGTATCCCTGTAAGGTGGTGATTGAGAGGAAAAGCCCAAGGACTGTATATAAGGAGCCTCAGAATTTAATTGTGGCTCGCTTGACTTTTTGAAAAAGTGAAACATTGGGCAGTACTAATTTTAAATAGAATCCCAGCAGCTAAAATGATTAATTTGGCTCTTCAGTTGAATGTAATGCTGTTTCTATTGCACTTACTAGTCCCACATTTAGGGCAGCAAGTACAATTCAGGGCTGGAGGAGAGGTAGGAGCAGAGAAGTTGGGGGGATTTCACTGGCCTCTGATGGGAGTCACTGTTTGTTAGGAATGTGGGGTGCATTTGGGGTTGTGACTGGGAGAGGTTGAGTGTCCCGGTGTTCAGGGTTCTGACATGTTTAGTTTGGTCCCAATGAGGAATGGTTAACGGAATACACAGGGAACCACTGAGATGAAGGTGATGGGAGCCCAAGACTCAGAAGAGAAACAGGAAGTGTTTCTCACAGCCTCGTCTAGGCTGAAACCTGCCAGCGAGGACTGTGCAGGAGAGAAGACACCAGGGTGCCCCATTGCAGACCAGGCTGTGACTCCAGCTGCGAGTGACCATCAGAGTTGGCCAAGTGGGTATGGGACTGCGCTCTCCAGGCAAAAAGACCTGTGAATTATTTTAAAGCTAATTCATGGTTATTATTCAAATTAAGCCTATTTTAAAATTCATGCTTTACACAATTTACATCATCCCACTTTATATCTAAGGCCGTCAGCTTTAGCCCTTTGTGGGGGAAAGTGTTACAGTGGCATTTCTGCTTTCTGTGCCACAATGCACAGCAGTTATTCTCAACTGTGTTTCTACATCGGAAACCCCCAGGGAGGGAACAAACAAAACCAATCCCAGACGCCCAATTCCAGACACCCGGAAACAAAATCCCTGGACTGGAGTAGAGGACCACACCCCGGCTTCGTCCTGCACACTGACAATAGAACATTTACGTTTGTGAATGTAGTCATCCTGTCGTAGAAGCCTGAAGAGTTGTTAGCAAATTGGATCTGCTCAGGATGCTTACGTGTCCAAATAGGAGATGGTGCTGCCAGTAGTGGCTGACCTTCATTCTGAACCTTTCCACTCCTATGCCCTGCTGGTCACACAGGCCTCCTGCAGGACAGTGTTCCCAGCCTAGCTCTGCATTGCAACCACCTGGATATTTTTACCTTTTATTAAGTTATAACAGAGACAGAAAAGTGCGTGCAAAGGTGGTAGTTACCATGGACTTGGCATCCAAATCAAGAATCAGAATGTTGCCGGCGCTGCTGAAGCCACTGTTTCCCCACTGCTCTGAGCCAGTTTCCCTAAAACCACCGTCCTGACGGCTAATATTAAAGATCAGTTTTGCCTCCTTTTGACTTTTTACAAATGCAGTCAAAATAGTATGTTTTTCTTTCACGTCTGGCATTTTTTTACTCAATACAGAGTCAGTCAGTATTTTCTTCTCCGTGAATTTACCTCTTCACCTTTATATTAGTGCTTTCAAGTACATTGAACAGATCTGATTTGCTAGTTACTTCTTGGTCCTTTTACAGAGTTTAAATTTAACTCTCATCACAGACTCAGTGTACCTTCAGTAGCCCTATGGTACTGTCATTTTTTAGGCCTGATAGAAGACATGGCCCTTTTGATTTCAACTTCGACTCAGCACAGAGCTGAGTGGAGGGTGCAGGCCTGTTATGTTTCAGTGAGGTCGCCCGCATGCATTTACCCCATGTCGGAAAGGAGGGTACTGTGACGGGCCCCCACCAGAGACCCTTTGTGAACTTCCTGTCTGAATTGTTTCTTGTTCCGATTCTAAGGCAGTTTGATGGCTTCCTTAGCTTCTATTTCTGCTTGAGCAAATGGTACAGAACTCACATTTTCAACTCATTTATTATGCTTCTCTTTCAGACCGCCCTTCCTTTAGAGCTTCCTCAGGTGAAACCAAAGAGAAACGATGAAGGCAAGGGACTAGGCATGCAGTTAAGAGGGCCCCTGGGGCCTGGAGGAAAGGGGTCGTTGTCTGAGCTGAAATCATCACCTGCTGGCTGCCCCGGGTCCCTGAGTAAAGCTAGCCCAAGACCAGGCCCCTCAGAGGGCTCCCAGGATCCCGCTTCCCCACTGCAGTCAGCAGCGGACCATCTGGAAGAAGAATTAGATCTGCTGCTTAATTTAGATGCGCCTGCAAAAGCGGGAGCGAACATCTTACCAGACCAGATGCCTCAGGACCTAGGATCTGAGAAAGATGGGGAGGTGGTGGCCCAAGAAGAAAAAGGTACGGTTTTCATTTTCTTCCCTCTCCATCTTCTTGGTTCTGTGCTTTTATGAGAACAGCCTCACCCGTGTCACATCCGCACTCATCTCCATTGGTGTCTGACATCAATCTGGCGTCGTCCACTGACATCTATTTCTGTGCTCACATCTCCGCTTCCCCAGAGCTGACCTTTCTGACAACATTCCTCTCATTCGATATGCGGCTCCCAGAGCTGCTACCTGCCTGATCTCAGTGTTAAATCTGAGGCTGCGAATTGAACGTGAGCAATAAACAGGCCTGGAGATATTTGTAGCCCTCAGCTGTGCGGCAGCGGACCTTTTAATCCACTGTCTGAATAGCCCAGTTAACCAGCTCTTCCTTCGTTTTACTGTTTTTCACAAGAGAACAACACTTTCTTGTTTGTGTGTGTTCCGTGAGGCAGTGGCCCATCTGATGCGGAGAGGCCCAAGGCAAGGCCCCAGCATATCCTGCGTTCAAGGGCCTTAATACTTTGCAGGGTTGCTACAATAGCACACAGAAAACCGAGCGTTGGTCTTTTTAATAAACTCGTGAACTGTGAAATTCAACTTGAGAATAAATAGAGGGGCAAATTTCTACTCTATTAATTTGTTTAGATATTATTATATCTTCTTAGGGAGTAGGGACAACAATAGAATGTTTCCCCTTGCTGTAAGCAAAGTAATAATTGTGGCTGAATTATATCATGGAACAGCACCCAGGGAAGCTGTCATGCTCCGTTTTGGGACTAACGTGAAGTTGTTAACATTGCCTTTATTTCCCTAGTTCCTGCAAAAGCATCTGTGGCGGAAGAAAAGACTGTGGAACCTGAGCAACCAAGCACATCCAAAAATGTTACCGAGGAAGAGCTTGAAGACTGGTTGGACAGTATGATTTCCTAACAAAAAAAGAGAAAGAAAAAAAGTCTCCGACACCAGTTTGGGTTGCCCTGTAAGGCCGGGCCCATGGCTGTCCGTGAGAGCAGCTGGTTTACGAGCCTGCCCCGCGCCAGTGTGTTCCATCAGCTCACACAGTGCACACCTACCTCTGTGTCTGACAACAGCCACAATAATACATTTATGAGGCTCGGGCATTTTTCTCTGACTTAGTCATCTCAGACTCAGGAAGGGCGGAGACGAAGTGCTGCTGCTGAAGAGAGCAAGCAACAGAGTATGTGTTTGGCCAAATAAACCAGTGCTGGTCTGTGGAGTGTTTTTCCTTTTTGTGAAGGGGTTTAGGCTGTTTGTCTCATGTCCCTTTCCCAGCAGCCACAGTGTGGTTGTAGAATCATCCAGAGGTGGTGCATTACAAGAGGCCGAACCACGGGTTGGCACGTATCACTTTATTGCAGTGGGCACTTCATTTTACTTAAGATTCACCTAAACATAGCGGCTCCACTACTTACGAGGGACCATAAAGCATTACTCAATTTGGCATAAGATTGAGATTTTTCTGAGTTTTCAGTACAGTACTTTTCTTCTAATAACAGCAATCGACAAGCTGTTACTGAGAAAAAAAATTATATGCATAACCTTCAAGTGCAGTTTCTTAAAGTAAGACAGAAGATCAACACAATTATTTAATGGGACTGTCCATCTAGAACATAAACATAAAAAACTTGCATAGCTATATCTAAAGAGGTTTTAAGGCACTTAATCGATATTTCATTGTCGACAAAGTGTTTTTTTCTGTTTCTATTTCTTTAACTGGTTAAAGCTTTTCAAGCTGATTCTGGGTACATTCACTAGTAAGTACCATGGGAAAAATTAGACTTCAGTTAAGATGATTTTTTGTAGTTCAGACCATGAGTCACTCGTGGATATTGTCATGTGGCATTCAGGTGTTTAGAATTGAATGTATTATGCATCCAAGACTTCATACTTCTAGTCCCTTTCTCAATGCTACCATCCTGACAAACATGTTACATTAGAACTGAAAATCTTGAAGGCATTCAACTAGAGTCCTTGATTTAACATTTTGAAAGGTTATCTCCCACAGGGTTTGTCCATTAGGCACAAAGAGTCCAATCAATTCCAAAATATCACAGAGATTTTTTTTTTTTGGTAGCTTTTTTTTGGGGTTGTTTTTACACAGATTTTTTAACAAACAATTTCTTGTTGTAAGGGAGGCATTTAGAAAATGTCACCTTTCAAAAATGTTGCATATGAAGTGTAAAAGGATTTTAATTTCACTTTAAGTTGACAGTCCAGACTCGAGGAGTTTCTTTCATTCAGGCTTATCCAAGCTGATCCTCATATTGTTTCCGAAAGCAGTCACCAGCTGGGAAGAAATCCCAACACCTTTCTTGGTACATCTTCCAGACATACGATTCCTGAAATAATCGGGGGGAAAAGGTACTTCTTTTTAAACCACAGTAAGCTAAAGCTCGAAAACTGTTTTTGCTCTATTTGTCTCCCTTCAGGAATATTGATGTGGATTTATATGAGGCTCAACTGGCACATTCATTCTTGTTGTATTCACAGCCCATTTTGACAGCAAGAGGTTTCTTCCCACTTCCTCCTCCCGAACACAGAAACCAACTCAGTGACTGACATAAAAATACTTAAGAGATTAGCAGTAGGCTGATTCCATGTAATTTGTAATTGGTAGAAGAACGTACGATGGGGACCATGGAGGACTGGCTTAGCTATATTAAAGCCAGCTCCGGAAACCAGCTGCCCTCTCATAAATGTTCGAGCTGTGAAGAATTCCTACAAACTCAGTGATGTTTGAAAACTTGATAACCTGCCTCTTCTGCATGTGTTCTCTGTCTTTACATGTCATACTCAATCATAGAATCCCTTTGACACCTTCATTCATACTCTCACACCCACCCCTCCCCCTCCCCCTCCCCCACTCAGGATTATCTTTCTGTGCCATCCTCACAGCATTTGCCTCTGCTCCCCCTGTTCTTTATGCTCACCACCCACTCAGCTCCTCATTGTCTTTTGCTCTGTAATGCTCTCAACCTCCAGCTCCTTAACTCTGAAGGGTGTGGAAAATGTCAGTGTCTGTTGGAAGGATAATCAGAACTTTTTTGGAATAGAATGGAATTGCTTTAGAATTCTGGCTTCTTAAGTCACAAAGGATGATGGAGTGATGCAGAAAGCAGTGGGGAACGGCATGGAGGCCGATGGGATCACCTGTCTCCTTCAAATAGCCTGTGCTCAGCCGATTCTTGGCACTTGGGCAAAGGAAGTGCTGCTGTGGGGGTGTGATGCTTAATTAGACCTTTCCCCTCACCTGACCCGTGTGCTCTGTTTCATCTTTGTTAATCAAATACATCAGGAAGAACCTGGAACAAGGAAAAAAGGTTTAATAAATGAGGAAAAGACAATATTAGATACTTCCGTTAGGAAGCCTAGTTTCATTTACTTAATTAAAGGAACCAGAGGAGGGGTTCAAATATGCTTTTCAGTATCATGCTGTCCTCTAGGCCTTTCTGAATTGGGCAAATGTGGCATAGACACAAACCATCATTTTCTGATGATAATGTTAAAATTAGCCTTTTCATGAGAAGAGATCCCTTTTTACCATCCCCAGAGCTTAAGCTAAGATCCCTTGTGAGGATCCCATTTTCGCTACCATTTTATTGTTTAAAAATATTCTAATCCAAACAATGAAATGGTATCCCAAACTCTTCTTGCATAATTTTCAGTACACCTATTCATCGTGACATAAAAATGAATTAAAATTATATGGTGTCTCAAGGATACGGGATTTTTGGAAAGTACTTAAGTTGCCCCAATTCTTTCAGAAATATAGTTTTGTTTTTGTTATAGACAACTGAGCAATGCCAAGGTGGTTTCACTTGCTCTACTGTGAGTGTCTGAGGTTTGAGTCTCTTTGTCTGGAACACACAAGCATCCCCGGAGGCCGGGCACTCAGCTTGCATTACAGGGCCTCAGAGACAGCTGCCAGAGGAGCCGGTCTCATGCCCTTCAGGAAAAGGACTGAGCTCTCGGTGAGAAAGTAGAAATAACTCTCCTTGGAGGAGGGGGGTGGGGAGAGCTGAGCCCAGATTTTGAGTTCTCTCAGGGTCCCCTGAGTTTATAGCTTCAGTTTGTGGCCCACAGTAGAGGCTGTAAACATATATTAGTTTCCTTCTTCGTTTATCACACTAAGAAACAAGTCATGGCCAGTATCTGACCTTGTTGGAGACTTAGGCACATTTATTTGAGAAAGCACCATTTGGGGGTGTGTGTGGAGTTTAAACATGAATAAGATGGGTTCTTTCCCCTCAAGCTCTCTGCTAGAGAGGCCCGGAGAGAGAAACAGACTATTCTAATATAGAAGGCTAGCGAAAGACGTAGAAGGTGTCCCAACCCAGCTACCATAATGCTCTTCCTCTCTTCTCTATTCACTGGTCCTGACATGTGGCCATGTGCTCACCTTTCATAGAAGGACATCCACTGGACCCTTCAATAAGATGCAAACTCTCTTAATGAGAACACACAAGGATGACTACCCAGACTTGAGGGAAGGTATGCCAAAGTTAATGTTTAAAAATTTGTGTTTTTGTCTTAAGAAATTCTTAAACTGTTGTCTCTTTGACAATAACACCTTTCCCAAAGGCTGTGCCTGTTCCATATTAAAGAAAGTTGAGGATTTTCTAAATACAGTGTGGACTCAGGGGAAGGGGTAGGCCAGGGAGCCACGCCCAGCAGTGTTTTTTTTCCTACAAATGATCACTTAGAGAATCTGAATTATCAGGAAATCTGTATTCCCTATAAATTCTGTAAGTTCTCAGTTTCACAGGCAGTTCACAGAACATAATAGGCTCTGAATAACCTGTTCTGGAGTGAATGCTTTACCTCAGGTGCTGGGATAGAGCAGTGTGAAAACGTCCCCAAACCTCATGGAGCCCATGTGTCACCAGGAGGGGAGGACACGGTGAGGACTGAAAACTCACTACAGAACCCAGCACCATGTGGACCCGTGGCCACCTTGACAAGAGCAAATGTGAGGGGTGGCGGGAGAGGAAGAAGCAGGGCAATGACTGTAAGTAAAAATGCAGCCACAGGCTTTTGTCTTTGTCTAGGATTTTAAAAGGTTGTATTGGGATAGGAAAATTCTAGCAAAGGAAATACATTGCTGGAGTTATGTGACCTTGAGATTGGTTGCGGGACTGACCTTTGCTCAGAGCAGGAACAGTCCACAACACATATCTATGAAACATGGGAGGCAAGTTGCTTGAGCCTTCTAGCCTAATTGCCACTATTTCTCAGAGAAACAGGAGGAAATGGCATCAGCAGAGACTGAACTAACTGACTGTTGGTATTATTATACCACTTCTCCCCCGCCCCTGTCACCCCTATCGACCAAGAGTACTCACAAGTAGTTGGCTAAGTTGTGCTCTTGTAATGTGTGTGTTTCAAAACCATGAGGGGTTGTGTCAAAGTAGTCATTGCCAATCCCACAGATGAAACATTTAGTCTAGAAAAATAACAGAGGCAGTAAAGGTATTAGTAGGCGTGACATTACAGGCAGGTGGGAAAAGGGCGATGATATATGCTTGAATTGAGACACACTGAAAACTATTTCTCTCTCAAATGTTTCAGGCACTTAGTCATCCACTCCCTAGCGAGCTGGGGATACTTGCTCCTGCCCCAAGAATGGGGCACGGTGAAGGCAGCAGGCGGAGGGGATGGGATTGTGTAGAACACAGGGTGGAGCACGAAATGCCCAGAGCTGGTAGGTAGGCACCGAGAAGAGGACAGGAATGGAAACAGGTTGCATTGGTAATTCTGCTGTGAGATACAGAGCTAGAGTTGGAATGAGTGCTTAGAACATTACCTCCATATCTTCTCGTACTTGTTCCTGCTGGTCTCTCAACTCTCCAAAAGCATCAATAATAAGACCTGGGATTTTAAATATAAAGACAGATAAAGTGTTTTAAATAATCTGTTCAGGGTAAGGAATGATAGAGGGAATGGCACAGGCCACTTTGTTTTGTAAAGTAAATCATCAACCTTATTCAGAGAAAACATATTCAGAAAAAAACAGTGCTTGTTTTTAAATGCTGCATCCTGGCGAAACATTCTTCCTCTAACCTCACCTTTCTGCAGTATGTGCTAACTACTCCCTCCTCCTAGAAACACTTTCCTCTCTGCCAGCCCCCCCACCCCCCACCCCATTTAGCTCCCCTCCTTTTCTGTCTCCTCTGGCACTCTCCGCCTTCTCCTAGCACCTGATGCAGAGTG